CCGCCTCGGAGCCGGGCGGGCGGGGGGAGGACCGGCCTCGCCGCTGCCGCCAAGCCCGGCAAAGTGGGGGGAGGACCGGCCTCTCCGCCTCAGAGCCGGGCGGGGGGGAGGACCGGCCTCGCTGCCGCTGCCGCAGCCTCGGGGAGATTGAGGGGGGGATGGAGGAGATGGAGCTCTTCTCCCCCCCGTGAGTATCGCGGGTCCCCCTCTTGTATATATATATATATATTGTGATGCATGATGTGGTCCATGGGGTCGTGAAGAGTCGGACTCGACTGTGCAACTGAACAAAAACAACTATGCACACACACACACACACACACTGCATCCTTTGAGGCTGAATGGAATGTGTATCTCCGTCAAGGGCTACTAAAGATTAAAGAGTGATTAAAATGTGAAATTCACTGCCAAGAGATGTAGTGATGGCCACAGAAACAGACAGCTTTAAAGGATTATTAGGTTCATGGAAGATAGGTCTATCAGTGACTACTAGCTTTGGTGACTGAGGGGAACCTCCACATTCAGAAGCACTAAACCACTGAATCCCAGTGCCAGGTGGCAACATCAGCAGAAGGCCTTGGCCTCTATGCCCCATTGTTGGTCCTCCAGAGGAATGGGTTGGCCACTGTGTGAGACAGGATGCTGGACTAGATGGACCACTGATCTGATCCAGCAGGTCTCTTCTTATTAGTTAAACATCAATGGGAGCTTGAAGTGAGTTCCAGAAACACCATCAGTTTCTAATGCATTGTTTAAAACACTTGGTGCTTTAAATAGGAGGAGGGGGGTCAAAATTGCAGCAGTGTACAAACCACTGAGGAAGCAAGAATGACTGCTACGTCAGCTTTTTCTTAAAGCTCTAAGCATCTCTGGATCCCCATGAGAACCAGAGGTGAAGAGAATGGTATTCAGCATTGATAATACTGTCTGCTAGTGGAAGAAAGGGAGCTTGTATTGACAATGCAAGTCTTTGAAGGAGAAATAAACATAGCACTATTTTATACAAGATGAAAAGCAACTATGAACTCTGCACTTTCTTAGATTGGAAATCTTAGATTGAAGAGGTTTTTTTAAGAAGCAGGCAGTATGACAAGTCATGCGGATGGAGTCAGTGCTAGGAAAATGAACTATACACCAATATCCATAGATAACAATGGATATAGATGTTTCCCTAGCAAGTATCTGTTCATAAATATTTCTATGTTTATATTCATAACATGATTTTACTTTCCCCCCCACTGAGGTTTAGAAAGTCATGGCTTATATGCCGAAGCCTTAGACTGGAAGCAGCCTGGTAAGATGTACAAATGAGGTATAATATACTGCATATGATCTGAAGACCTACAGATCTTGGGTATGAAAATGGAGTTTTGTACATATCATAACTTCCATGATCCATGTGGAAGAATATTCACCTCAATTAATCCTCAGGACACAGAGTGTTCTTCAGCTCACAGAAAAGGACTGAATAGGCCTTATGTTCACAGAACTCAGTTTTTCACCAAAACACTCCCCAGAAAGGAATAGCCCAGAACTCTGGAGCATGTGGAAAAGAACAATAGTTGTAAAAAGACACACAATTTTACTACATTCTTAAAAAGCTTATTTGGACTGCCGTGTGAGAAGTAAGGATGGTTTGCCATTGCCTTCTTCTACAAAGGCTTCCTTGGTGGTCTGGTCTCCCATCCAAGTACCTATCCTGCTTAGCTTCCGAGAGCTGACAAGATTGGGCTATACTATACAGCAGGGGTGTCAAACATGCAGCTCGGGGGCCGGATGAGGCCCCTGGGGGCTTCTATCAGGCCCGCAGTAGAACTGGCTGTCTTCTGCTTCTTCCAGTTCTGCTGCTGCTGCTGCATCATCGTAGGTTTGCAGCTTACAGATACACACCTGAACAGCATACTCAGGATTTCAACAGCACATACATTTTGATGCAATAATTCAGAGCAAGAGGTGTCAGTTATCAGACACTGTTAAATAAACAAAATATTGCAAGAGTGCTAATGTTCTAAGCATTTTTTATTTTAAGTAAAAAAAACCCTTTGTGTTTGTGTCCTTTATAAAGTTTATATCTCCGCTACCTGGCATTACATTTTATGATACACATAGCTTGGCCCAACAAGGTCTCATTTATGTGAGATCCAGCTCTCATAACAAATGAGTTCGACACCCCTGCTATACAGGGTTGCCAGATCCTCTTGCCACGCCATCGGGGGGATTGGGGGGGGCGTTCTGGGACATCCCCAATGCAATGACATCACCTGGAAGTGACATCATTGCATCAGCAATGTCCCCTGGCAACATTCTGGCTTGAGGGCAAAACTCTGTGGCTTTATAACCAAATTTACCATAGTTTTGCCCTCAAACCAGAGCATCCTGCGCAGTGTCCCCGACATGATGATGTCACTTCCAGATGACGTCATTGCATCAGGGACATCAGGTGGGGATGTGGCTGTTTGGTGGTGGAGCATCCCCCACTGGCCAGCTGGCCAGCAGCGAGCTAAATCCCCAAAAACTAGGGAAACCCCCACCGGGACCTGGGGACTGGCAACCCTAATATTATACCATTTCAGTGTCATAGTCCTCTATTAAAAGCCATTCATCACTATTGGTTAGTGGCAGCCAAATTTTGCAGCATTAAATTTTCAGACTCATGAACTTAGTGCAAGTCCCTTCCAAAA